GAGAGAGAGAGAGAGAGAGAGAGAGAGAGAGAGAGAGAGTGAGAGAGAGAGGAGGCAACTGTCTCCATTATCCGTCACTCTATCTACGGGAACATCTAGTATCGGCCATCTATACGACAACTCGGTCATTAGACATTACGGGACAGCGATCCTTCCGCTCTAGCTCCCCCCGCGTGATCCGTCTGCTGACAACTGTTGTTGCTGTTGCTGCTGCTGCTGCTACTGCTGTTGTTGCTACTATAACTATAAGCGAGCGGAACACGCGTCTGCTGACCTCGACCAACAGACAAATACGCCACGTCCGGCGAGCGAGCATGAGAGAGCGTGAGAGCATGAGAGAGCACGAGAGAGCATGAGCGAGCACGAGAGAGCATGAGAGAGCGTGAGAGCATGAGAGAGCACGAGAGAGCATGAGAGAGCATGAGCGAGCACGAGAGAGCATGAGAGAGCATGAGTGAGCACGAGACAGCACGAGAGAGCATGAGAGAGCATGGGCGAGCATGAGAGAGCGTGAGAGAGCATGGCGAGACACGCGAGTGTGATCACTGACTGACTGCGTACTGGATCTGGCCCAGTTCGCAGCAACGCCAACCCACCAGCTGGTCGACCGACCCCACCTACACACACGCGCACATGCAGACACGCGTACGTACGTACGCACGCACACACGCACACACACACACACACAAGCACACGCACACACACGCACACGCACACGCACACGCACAGGCACACGCACAGGCACACGCGCACGCGCACTCGCACGCGCACGCGCACNTTCTCTCACGCGCTCTCTCTCTCTCTCTTACTTGCTCTCCCTCTCCTTCTCTCACGCGCTCTCTCCCCCCTTTCTCTATACCTCTCTCTCGCTTTACTCGCTTCATCCCAGCTAGGTACCAAATGCCATAACTCCTTTGAAACCGTTTTCTAAGCAACCGTTAAGCTAACAGAACAGTGAGAACACACCTCATAAAAAAGCCCACCAATCATGTAACAATCACCGCTAACAATGATACTGCTACTACGCACTCACCTGCCCAAACGAGCCTTTTCCAATTAGCGAGTCAATTTCATATCTATCCAGCCACTTTTCTCCGTTCTTGATGATGTAATCGTGGTTGTCATCATCAAAGCCGTCGTTGTATCCCAGCCTCTCCTTCTTGTGCGACTTGTCTTCGCCCTGTGCCTGTTGCCTCCTCTTCTTCTTGGCATAGTACACCTGGGTACAGAAAATTTGAAAATGGTCAAGATTCAGTAATCTGTCAGGATTTTATTATAGACGAGCGACGACAAGAAGTTTGAGAAATGTCACAGGCAGTGTTCAAGAAATATCAAAACCTCCTCGTCTAGATCGGTAACTGTTTGCACTTGAAACCTCTTATGGGAGGAGGAAGAGGATAAACACAGAACGGTGGAACGATCATTTCTGCGACCAAAAAAATGCAGCCACTAACGTTACGACAGTATCACCACATCAAACGTAAACTCGGAAGTATTGCGATAGTCCCCTTCACGTTGTTACAGCTTGCAGACACAAGATAAACGACAACTGTAGGTACTTCTTTCCTTGAAGCACAGATATAACGCTTGCACCATTACCTCACAAGTGCTTACTATACCAGACAGATTCAGTGACGTTGTTACGGACCAATGCGACCCAACCGACTTGCAAGCAATCCATGTGCACAACACGGAGACCCGTTGTAAACAGAGTGAACGGTGACTTCAGAAGAAAGGATGTATTTTCAGATGTCATTAGATGTTTAGCGGCATCACATCCGATCAGGAATCAGGCGCGTGATGCTGAGTGACGTGGTCATAATACCGACAACAAACCTCCACCACGCACGCACCACCACGCACGCACGCACGCACACAGGCGCGTGATGCTGAGTGACGTGGTCATAATACCGACAACAAACCTCCAGCACGCACGCACCACCACGCACGCACGCACGCACACAGGCGCGTGATGCTGAGTGACGTGGTCATAATACCGACAACAAACCTCCA